ATACACACAGTATATATGATTTTATTTGATTTTTCTTTTCTTCTTCTTTTGGCTGCTCCCTGCTTCAGGGGTCGCCACAGTGAACTAAGTCGCACAAAGACTTGGCAGTTATTTTTATGCCAGATGCCCTTCCTGACGCAACCACAAACCACAGCCCTCTGTGTGGAGCAGAGAGCTGCTATCTAGGACACCCGGAGGAGCAGACGGTGGGGGTTAAGAGCCTTGCTCAAGGGCCCAGAGTGGGCAGAGTTAGTGTTTAGCGTATATCTTAGATCTTTTTGCGTATCGTTTAGTGTTTGTTTAGTGTATATCTTAGTGTGCATCTTAGATCTTTGTATACTGTTTATTTTTACAATTTATATTTTTGCTATTTTTGGGTGTAACTGGGACCTTGAGACACAATTTCGTTCCACCTCATATACCACACGTAACGTGAATGACAATAAATGGAACTTGAACTATTTATGCAAATTTTATAAAAACTTTGGTATATTAAGGCCTATCTCTTTTTTTTTTTTACACTTACAGCATGTTTTATGATAAAATATTTTACACTAAAAACAGTTTGGTAACAAGCTCACAATACAAATGAGTCCATACTTTTCGAGTACTTACCACACTCATGCTTTCGCAGTTAGCAGACAACTATTGCTAACGGTGAATGTGATATTTATTCATTAAAATCAACTATATAAAGTTGCTTAAATCATCACTTTCAATGTAAAATGTTTTTCATAAAAGCTCAACAGTTATGGTTCATCTGAAAATGCGCTCATTAACTTTTAAACACAAAACAATAATTGTGAAGCCACACCGTTTAAATGCTGCGCTTTTCACCCAAAGCGTGTCCAAACATGGAGCTCTACCTGCCAGCTCAGCGTAGCATCGGCTCATTAGCCTCTTATGATATAGATGGAATGATGGTGAACGCACATCATTCAAACAGGCCCTCCAGCTCCTCCAATAAACCACATCAAGTAGAAAAAATTGCTCACAATTCCCACCCAATATTTTTTTTCCTTCGCCGTCTCCTTACACTGTATTTTCTGTCAGACTTATTTTCACATTAAATGCTAAAGAAAAAAGCGCTGGCTCAGTTGGGTGAAATGTGCCAGAATCTGGTTGTGTAGCTTTAACTAAAAGTCCAGGCCAGGAGAATCTGAGCTCTTTTTGTGTTTTTACTTGACCACACACAGTAAATGTGGTGTTCAGCCTGTGACGTCTGCCCTTTTCTCCCATTCCCCCTCTTAAACATCTGCTTATGTTTCATATTCCACTCTGTCTGTCTGTCTGCAGTTTCACTGCCCACAAGCACCCGGCATTGTCCTAATTTAATAAATGACAAGCGATTAAAAAGCGCTCCTATTCAAGCTGCGGCCTCTGTTAAATCCATCTCAAACACAGACCCCAGTGATGGCTTTAAACACTTCTGACTGGTTTCTATTAAGACAATGCCACTGTTTTTCCTTTTTGCACTGACTACGCTCAAAAATATATAATGTTCTTTGGCGAGCTATTAAAGGTTTTGCAGATGGAGCCACGAGAGGGTCCAAACCTTTCGTAAAGGGCCATAACTCCCTGTGGTCATTCCGCAAACGCACACATAAACGAAAAAGTCCTCAAATGAAGTGCTCACTTGCTTTGAACAATTGAGTCAATCGGTTTTATAAATGCATTTAATTATGATTAGAAAGAAGCATCGAGTGGTTATTTATTGATGGTTTGAGATACATACAATTAAATGTATTTTGCCTTCAGATATAAAGTGCAAAATTTCTTGAAACATTACACAGTGGAGTTAATTTAACTAATCCTAATCAAATTCACCTTCAAATTTTACCATATTGCTTTTTTAAAAAATAAATCAACACAAACTCAATTAAAAAATAGAGAGTTCTGATGGACTAACCGATTAATAATTTGTTGTCGCCAACTTAAAACATCTCTAAATTTTCAGTGTTTTTCAAATACTATTTTATAGACCCATACACTGCCATCAGTTAAATTAACAGTTACCATGTGACCGACATTGAGCCACAGCATAATGCTACCATACGTACCGGTAACATACGTATGTAGTGTTTTTTTTTTTTTTTTTGTCTGAACCGTGCCGGTAAGACGGTTGGTTAAAAAAAACCTGTAGCCTACCAGGAAGTCAGCACCAATGACAATTTGGAGATTTGAGGTATTTCAAGACAAAAACAATGCACTATCTATTTAAAACTGAGCAGAGTTTATTGTTAAGAAAGTATTTACTGTAATATTGGTATTTTTGCAGTAAAGGTCCAACTCCTTTTAATACTGTACAGACCTTTGACAGCAAACAGAATTAGCAAATAAATCATTTTAAAAATACATTTATACTGCCTTTTTAGTTTAGATACATTTCCTTTTTTTTATTTCAGTCCATTTTTTTTTTTTAATAAAAAAATCATGATGTTACTTGTATAGACATTTTTGTTCAAATGTTGCTAAACCTGTTTGCAAAATTAGATTTTAAGAGCCATCTGCTGCAGGTAAGATATTGACTGCTCATACCATCCCACCAAGTTTTTCTTCAAAATCTCTGAACTATTCCTTTAAATAACCACATTTCTAGTCATCTCGCCGTGATAGTCAGAGCCATTGTCTCTGTGGGCAGCTACACTCACCCCACAAAAAACTGCCTCATCTCCTGGCGTCGTGAGCGCATCAGCTGCTTGTACTCCCCGATGCGCAGCTTCTTGCCGTCGATGATGCAGGTTCTCTTGGGCCGTGGCTTGTACTTGTAGTTGGGATATTTCTCCAAGTGGATCTTGCTTAGGCGGGCCTGCTCCTCGTAGTACGGCTGTTTCTCCTGATTGGTCATGGCTTTCCAGCGAGAACCTGGAGCACATGGTTGAGAAGTTTTTTTATTTGTGTTGGTGCACCAGAAGGTACATTTTTAAGCTAATGGTATCTTTAGAGACCATCATGAGCATTGGTGGGAACACAAATTTAAACACAAAAACAGATGAGTCATTAATTTGGCACCACTTGCGGTTTCTCGAACGTCTGCATGTGACAAGACACCTCAGAGTATTGGAATTTGTTTAAAATCAGGAGCGCATTACATTTTGCTCTGTCTCAGCAGGAGGAATGATGCATTGTGTACTTCTGACCATCCGAACATGTGAACAAGGCCATTACTGCAAGAACGCAGCACATCTGGGATTACACGCACTCTGCCTTGTTCCTCTGTTTATTAAGCTTCATCACAAACTTTTCTTCTACTTTTGTGACACAGGAAACACAGCGGACTTGTTTCGGGTTTTTTAAGCCTACCACCCACCTTCTCCCCAACATCCAGCTGTGTTTTAATGTTGGAGAGACTGTGTATGTAAAGTTATAAACATGTACACAACTTCTTTTTTTTTTTTGTTTCAGCCTTGTCCCACAAACATAATAAAGATTCAGAAGAATTATCTGCTCAGTTCCTACTGTAGTGAACCTGATCTGACCCTGATCTGACCCTGATGGCCTCAAATCTATCAGATGGACAGAGACTGTTATTTTCATTGATCTGAGTCCACAAGATCCCAAAAGTCATTTTTAACTTTGAACATTTTGTTAAACAAATTAATAATTTGTCACATCATATCTGTAAGTTTTTAAAGCCAAAACATTATTCCTATAATCTAACAAAGTTAAGTCAGGTCCTCTGGATTAACCATCGATCGTTAGGCTGATGGTCCTCCTTTCTCATGTGAACAGCTAGTTCTGGATGTCAACAACAAACTGGTTGATCCACTATGATAAGGGGCTATTTTTAAGACAGATGTTACTGCAGCTCCTCAGACTCATGAAGTCTTTTGTATTAAAGACGAAAAGGTTTTTTTTTTAATTCGTCCAGGGGACCTGATTTAACTTTGTTAGATTTTTCTACCTGGATTACTGAGCATGCATCAGATTATTCCTATAAATTCAGGAAAGATGTTGCTGGACATAAAGCGCCTCTTTATCCGAAAACCCACATCAACAACACAGACCCGCCTAAGAAAGAGCAATTTGTTCATTTACATTCAGCTGGCCACTAACTCTCCTTCAGCCATCAGGGGTCTTAGGAACGTTTCAAGAACAAAGTTTTGCTTAGTGCCGTGTGAATGGATATCTGTTTAGAGGAGGTTAGAGTCCGTGAGGATTTTAACTGAAGGCGTCCATCACACCAGGTGATACACTGGACCTCTGTGTGTGCAGTGTTCCTGGCTGCAAAAACACATTAGTCCTTCTCATAATCTGCAGCTTGTTGGTAAGAAACCCTGTGAACTATAGTAGGAAGGTGGCCTAATGAGCTCACCCTAAAATAAAAGCCATTTCTCTAAAAACTGACAGAGGAACAAGTGACACTAACGCAACTATGTCTGTGACGTGCACAGCATTTCAGTTTGATCATGTTTTTTATTCCATTTTATATAGGAATAAAGTTAATATTTAAACTGTAAGAGTTTGAGACCAGATCTGAATGTCTCTTTTGACAAGGGCTATCCATCCATTTTCTTCTGCATATTCGGGGTCGGGTCGCCGGGGTAGCAGCTTCAGTAGGGAGGCCCAGACTTCCCTCTCCCCAGCCACTTGGTCCAGCTCCTCCAGGAGAATCCCGAGGCATTCCCAGGCCAGCCGAGAAGCATAGTCCCTCCAGCGTGTCCTGGGTCATCCTCTGGGCCTCCTCCCGGTGGGACGTGCCCGGAACACCTCGCCAGGGAGGCGTCCAGGAGGCATCCTAACCAGATGCCCGAGCCACCTCAACTGGCTCCTCTCAATGTGGAGAAGCAGCGGCTCTACTCTGAGTCCCTCCCGGATGATCGAGCTTCTCATCCTGTCTCTAAGGGAGAGTCCAGACACCCTTCGGAGAAAACTCATTTCGTCCGCCTGATCTCGTTCTTTCGGTCACAACCCAAAGCTCATGACCATAGATGAGAGTAGGAACGTATATCAACCAGTAAATTGAGAGCTTCGCCTTTTGACTCAGCTCTCTCTTCACCACGTCAGACCGGTACAGCGCCCACTTCACTGCCGACGCTGCACCAATCCGCCTATCGATCGCTCGCTCCATTTTTCCCTAATTTGTGAACAAGACCCCAAGATTCTTACACTGCTTCACTTGGGGCAGGACCTCCTCCCCAACCCAGAGAGGGCACTCTACCCTTTTCTGGCTCAAGACCATGGCCTTGGATTTGGAGGAACTGATCCTCATCCCGGCTGCGAACCACTCCAGTGAAAACTGTAGATCATGACCTGATGAAACCAATAAGACCACATCATCTGCAAACAGCAGAGAAGTGATCCTAAGGCCACCAAAACGGATCCCCTCAACACCTTTGCTGCACCTAGAAATTCTGTCCATGAAAGTTATGAACAGAATCGGTGACAAGGGGCAACATTGGCAGAGCCCAACTCTCACCAGGAACGAGCCAGACTTACTGCCGGCAATGCGGACCAGGCTCTGACACCGGTCATACAGGAAACAGCCCGTATCAAAGGGCCTGGTACCCCATACTCCCAGAGTACCCCCCACAGGGTTCCCCGAGGGACGCGGTTGAACGCCTTCTCCAAGTCCACAAAGCACATGACTGGTTGGGCAAACTCCCACGCACCCTCCAGGACACTGCTGAGGGTGTAGAGTTGGTCCAGTGTTCCACGACCAGGATGAAAACCGCACTGCTCTTCCTGAATCCGAGGTTCCACTATCCGATGGACGCTCCTCTCCAGAACCCCTGAATAGACCTTACCAGGGAGACTTAAGAGCCTGATCCCCCTGTAGTTGGAACACACTCTACAGTCTCCCCCCACTTCCAAGGGCACCTCAGAAAAACTGAACAATCTTCTGGACAAACAAGCATGAGTGCAGTTTAAAATGACAATCTGTAAGTCTCACCCAGGATCTTGCTGATGTTGGAGTTGTGCATGTCGGGGAAGGTCTGCAGAATCTTCCTTCTCTCGTCTTTAGCCCAAACCATGAAGGCGTTCATGGGTCTCTTGATGTGGGGCTCACTGTTGCTCCTTCCTCTGGCCTCCCTAAACACTCGCGCCTCTGTAACGTTACTCCCTGAATGATAAAGAACGATGCAAAAAAAAAAAAAAATTATTAAATGTCTATCAAATTCTAATTTTAGCTTAAAATGTTAAACAAAATAAGGTTGAGCATTCCTTAAAGTAATACATGTCACCTGTTTCAACTTTAATAGTCAAACAGCAAGATTGCGTTTGCTTTTGATATGAAGGTTTATTGTTGCCTTCTTTGTTTGGAATACATGACAGAAGTTTTGACGGGTCAATCTGGGATGCTCTCCATATTCTGACAAACACTACACGCCGTAGTCCGTTTGCTTCTGCCTGATGCAGTCTGAGTCCAAAGGCTCCTGTGTTTATCCCCTGACTCTAAACTAAATCACGATGAGCACTCCTCAACCTCTCATCTCCTGTAAACAGTGGAGATTTTAGTGGAGTTTTATGAGAAACAGGTGGGTTAGAGTATGCTTAGACTACATCCAGTGACAGGGTTTTATGCTGCATGTAATACTTCCTACTTCTTGTCTGTCCTGATAAAACCAAGAATCCAGACAGTCTTTCTACTAAATCATATCTCCAATAACCTGCTGCATGACTCTGCCTTATAATGGGCCCTTTGTCCATTCAGTATCCTTCTGTTATCTGGGTGTCCAAATACTTCTTTAAAACATCTTTAGTTAATCCAAAATGCTGCTGCCAGAGTCTTAACTGGAGTTAGTGGGAGAGATCATATCTCTCCAGTTTTAGTTTCTCTCCACTGGCTCCCTGTCAAATCTAGAATTGAATTCAAAATCTTACTTCTAACCTACAAAGCCCTCAACAACCTAGCTCCATCATATATTACAGGTCTTATTGTTCCATATTTTCCTAACAGAGCACTTCACTCTCAGACTGCAGGTTTACTTGCAGTTCCTAGAGTTTCCAAAAGTAGAATGGGAGGAAGATCTTTCAGTTATCAGGCTCCTCTCTTGTGGAACCAACTTCCAGTTTCTGTCCGTGAGGCTGACACATTGTCCAGTTTTAAGACTGGGATTACGACTTTCCTTTTTGATAAATCCTATAGTTAGGGTCGGCTTGGGTTTCCTGAGTTGTCCCTTAGTTATACTGATTTAGGCTTGGACTGCTGGAGGACAAACTGACCACATTTCTTCACTATGCTCCTGTCTTTACTTACTCTGCTCACCCTGTTTTGTATCTGTAATTATTTTTTCTATCCTTGATGTGTTTTTGGCTTTCAGGTACACCTGCACCTACATCTGGACCTGTCATTCTGTGTTCGTTTGTCTCTCCTTCCTCTCCTCTCAAACCCAGTCGGTGAAAGCGGATGGCCGCTTGTCCTGAGCCTGGTTCTGCTGGAGGTTTCTTCCTTTTAAAAGGGAGTTTTTCCTTTCCACTGTTGCCACTGTGCTTGCTCAGGATGGGAGACTGCAACAAAGCCAAGATTCAACTTGTCTGCTGGATTCCTTAGATAGAGAACTTTACTAATTGGCTTTTCTATGTATGTGAATTTTCCTGTAAAGTGCCCTGAGACAACTTTGTTATGATCTGGTGCTATATAAATAAACTGAATTGAATTCTTCTTTCTTGTCTTTATAAATACATTTGTGAAAAGAAAAAAAAAAACACTGTATGTATTTATATATATATATATGTATATTCATTAATTCAACCTTTATTTAAACAGACAAATCACACTGAGCCTCGAAGACTCATTTACAAGTGAGACCTTTTTGAACAGTGGTAAAAGTGGTGGAAGTGACAACACAGGTTATATATATATATATATATATATATATATATATACACATAATGGGGGTAGGCGCAGCTCACCATCTAGATCCTCTGGTCTTGTCAGGTCAATGACTCGATGGACCATCTTCCCGGCATCCTCCCCGAGCTTCCCGAGGTGCTGACTCAGTGTCTCATAGTGCAGCCTCTCCTACAAAATAACAGCAAATTTATAAAGTTTCACAACCTTAACATTGACAACCTTTTGAATAATTTACAGAAAAGTGACGTCCAATAGCAAATAATAAGTCCCTCTTTAAAGAGGGCCATTGTGGACTCAGATGGTAGGGACAGTAAAAGTAGTTAAACAACAACAACAACAAAAAAATCCAAAGAAACATTTTGAATGGTGCAAATGCAGCTACTGGCTGAAATTCAAACAATCAAGTATCTTCTACAGTAAAAATAATAGTAATTTTATACTAATTTTCTAATAATCTAAGTTGACAATATTCAGACGTTTTGATTGATAAGCTGGATAAGAGTGCAAAGAAAACCAAGTTCAAAAGAAATGTTAAATGTATTACTAGTGTTTCATTACAGTTACCATGGAAACCACATACACACCTGTGATTATCACCTCCTGACAGGACTTATTAAGACAGGCAGACATAAAAACAGACTAAAATCTCAGCCTCAGACTGTGGCTGAGATTTTAGAGAACAGTCTGACAGTCATTGTAGTCAAACTACAGTCAGACTGAGAACATTTTGAACTATAATTAACAGAAGTGATCAGCACACGCGGGCAGCACGGTGGCGCAACTGGTAGAGCTGCTGCCTCTCAGCGAGCAGGTCCTTGGTTCAAACCCCGGTCCAGGGGCCTTTCTGGGTGGAGTTTGCATGTTCTCTCCGTGCATGCGTGGGTTTTCTCCGGGTACTCCGGTTTCCTCCCACAGACCAAAAACATGCATGTTAGGCTGATTGGTAACTCTAAATTGTCCCTAGGTGTGAGTGAGAGAGTGAATGGTTGTTTGTCTTGTTTGTCTCTATGTGTCCCTGTGATGGACTTGTGACCCGTCCAGGGTGTACCCCGCCCCTCGCACAGTGATTGCTGGACATGGGCACCAGTGACCCCCGTGACCCAAAATGGAATAAGCGGGTAAAGATAATGGATGGATGGATGGCTGGATCAGCACACGCGTCATTTTACATATTTATACAGTGTGTTCTATTGGAGATACGACAACTTCAACAGATCCTTGACCTCCTATTTTAAAGAGAATATTTTGATCTCACTATGAAAGTTTGAATGTGCACATTCTGGGTGGATTTTTATAAGAAAAAAAAAGTAAGTCCTACAGCACTGAAAATAACAAAAAATGCTTTTATGTTTATGTATAACGTACAAAATATCTCAAGATTGTCTAAAAAGTCAGTCAATATCGAAGAAACAATAAATCCTGATTCATGCTCAATAATCCAGGTAGAAAAATCTAACAAAGTTGAGTCAGGTCCTCTGGACGGTTTCTTTTTGTTGAAACGTTTCGTCTTTTATCCAAGGGACTTCATCAGTCCAAGGAGCGGCAACAAACTCAGTCTTATAAATAACACCTTCTCATAGTAGGCCAACCAGCTTGATGGTGCTCAGGTGGTTTCTGTAGTCCGCCCTCTCCCCTCTGATGACATTTTTTGGATGAAAGACAAAACATTTGAACAAAAAGAAACTGTTTCCTCTTTAAGCCTGTGCTGATTCTGGGTGTCTTTAGTGATTTTCTGATTCTGCCATTGGTCCTACCATCCCACCTCTAGAAAAAAAAATCTAAAGAAGCCTGTTTGTGGGCCTTCCAGCTAAAATTAGTTCACTCAACTTCCAAATACATCTAAAAACATCAACCGCTTGCACAGCTACCGCACATCCACACTCTTCTGTTCTATTCTAGTTTTCCCTGCTTCCCTTCCCTCCCTTCTCCCTCTCAGCTCCCGTTCTTTCTTTCTTTCTTTTTTTCTGGTGACAGACGCATTTTGTTTGACGCAAAGAATAGTTGCTGGGTGAAGTCACGCCGTGGTAGCCGCTGGCAGAGTTGGTGGAACTTACGGGCCCAGCACGAGTGTGTGTGTGTGTGTGTGTTTAAAGATGAGGAGCTGGTGCGGGCCAATGTCAGCACTACAGCAGGGCTGTAATCAGGCCCACCACAGAACATGTGCCTGGGCAGTGCCATGCTCACCGCAGGAAACAACCGACCAAACAAAGGGCTAAAGAAAAAAGAGCAGGAGGGAAGGATGGAGAGAGATAGAGTGAAATACAAGAGAAAAGAAGAGGGGGGATGGAAAACTATTTTAGAGAAAAATAAGCACTTAAGTCCACAGAAACCTCCCTTTTAGTCTTACTGATGGTCTCCAGATAGCAGTTCCAGATTAAATTTGGCGTTCTGATGCTGACAAGTGGACCTCTCATGTCCTTCATCACATCATTTCACAACATGCTAAGCACACTGAGATGTTCCTGATGACTGGGAGGAAACCAGTGGAAAAGTACAGCAGAGGAGAGTTGGGGTTTTGGAAAAAGTACAAAAAGACACCATCAATAGAGGTGGAATGATCCAAGCTGCAGATTAACAGCAGACCTGGGTCAATATTTCACATATTTCCTGTGGTTGGTCTACTTTTGGTCTTCTTAAAAGTCCTTGCGGCAAATGAAGTAAGGAGCCGTCTTTCCTTTGTTTAGTCAAGATTGAAATAGGTTTGGCCAGCGTGCCTGCTGGTTTCTAACTGGACAGCTGCCTTTTGGAGAAGTATAATTTTTTTATTCCTCCTCTATTTTTTTCTAGTAAACTCCATAAGAATCTTGCACAAAAAAAGAAAAGAAGAAAGACAATCATCAGAAAATGCACGTCAGTCCAAACTAGCACCCCATAAAATATCACTCTGTGCAGCTGAAGGTTCTAGCTCAAGTGTCTACTCTGCAACCTTTATGATCAAAAGAGCCATTTTTACACCTTTGTCCACTAAATTAAACGTGTCCAGAGCCGAAACAACCTGCTGCAACTATTATCAAGTGGTGGCCCATGGGCCACTTTAGGTTTGTTGGAGGAAACTTTTGTGGTCAGTATGTGTGACATTATAAAGCTAAAAATACCGACCATATTTTTTGGACTATAAGGCGCACCAGATTATGAGGCACATTAAATGAAAAACAACAACAACTTTCAGATAAGTTAAACTTTATCCAACTCATTCACAATAACTCTCTCAACGCTGTTCAGCTGTACCACATAAAATTGGTTCGAAGTCAGTAAGCGCAATTAGAATTAATACATAATGCGCACTGGATTTTTTGACAAAAACTAAAGGATTTGAAGTGCACCTTATAGTCCAAAAAATATGGTAATGATTTTTAGCATTTATTGATATTTTTTACAATTTAAGACAAATGGAAAGACCATATTCTTGTAAATAGGTGGGAAAATAGTTTTTAAATAAAATAGAATTATGAACTGCAGGCCTATGTAACTTTTTTAATTGTGGGGGAAAAATTAAGTATAGAAATTAAACAAAAAGTTAAAGTGATTATTTGCAAAAGAAGTGAAAAGAGCTAAAACGAGTACTTATTTGTTGCTTGTATAACAACCTATAAAATTCAGTTTTCTGTTAGTTTTGGTCATAGCTTTAAAGTGCCGCCACAGAGGGACCAAAGAGCCGCCACAGAGTTACCAAAGACCTGCTCTAGAAGGACCAAAAAGCTGCTCTAGAGGGACCAAAGAGCCA